TAATGGTTTCTCTAATTCTCTTAATTATCTTAATCTTTATTTGGCGGTTTTTGTTTAATAGTTTTAAAATAGGTAAAACAGGGAAAATTTCAGTCAAATTACTTTATTCTGCGCGAAGTTATGACTGTTTGAAGAATAGCTTAGTCCATATTTCCATTGCTACTGTTATTACGATAAATAAACATAGTCTCGATTATCTATTTTTAAATGAAATTATTATCGTGTTTTAATTCGTTCAAAATCACAAGAATTTGATTGTCTAGAGAGTTGATTATTGGCTTCTGGTACATGTGAACAAGAAGAAAAGTTTGAAGTAAGTTCACTATTTTTCTCCAATATTCAAGTATAGTAGCAAGGAAAGAAACACAAAATTTACCTGATCCGGAGGACGATTCTAAAGTTTGATGTCAGAAACATAGTTCGGGTTATATGGTGTGTGATTAACCAGTCACAATATAAAGTAGACCCAATCTCCAATCTAATTTCAGGGTTGCATTTATTCACACATTCTGAGCGCAGTTATGAGTGTTAGAAGATGTGGCGTTCATTGTTTACTACGTAGCCAACTATGGTCTAGAGAGTTGATTATGGGCTTGTTATGTTAATAATTGTTTATCTAAATAATTATTTATACCACATTTGAGGCCAAATGAAGAATCTGCAATAGGCAGATTTAGCTCTTCCATAACGCATCTTTTATCTTATATTTACATTATGAATAACCACTTGATCAATGGCAAATGAGTTATTAATTTCCGGCCTTTTAATCACCATATGAAATAAACTGTTGACATCCTGGGCTAACATATGGCGTCATATAGTAACCATCAAAGACATCGCAAGAGAATGTGTTACGTAGTGTCTACAAATGGCGGATGTTACAAAACCGGGTACTTTTGATGATTTAATCAACTTGATAACGTAAATATAATTTATCCAAATTATGACGATAATAGCTTAGTTCCCCAACTCAATTAGTTTTCAAGATTTCAATCTTGACCTTCATTCAGGACCCTTTATTCCGCACCACACTCGTGACCCACAGCCGTCTTATCATATTTAAATGTCTGGGTCATATGCCTAATATTCGACCTGATATTTACAATGTTATGGGATACACGCATATTTCATATTTGCGAGTAATCCTGCTGAACTCTTGCCCCCCCCCCCCTTACCTCAACCAAAACATGCCATAATTACTCCTATCGCCCGTCTCGTATTTCTACAATAAATTACACATGATGACAAACAATAAACTTCAGCACAGTTCATGTTTCACCTTTTTTAATTTTGATATTTCTAACCTTCAAATAGTACGCATGACTGACTATACAATGGTTTTATCAGTTCCATATATTATCAAAACGCTTCTTTTATCATTTTCTTTTCCAAAATTCACTATTTTCAAATTATATATCATGGAATCCACAATCCTTGGACATGTCGGATTTCGGACACTTTATTTTGGAGGATGGAATAATTTTCACACTTTTCCTTTTATATCAACTAAAAAAAAAATTATTATTATTTACCAAGTGCCCGAAAATTTTGATGATGGCCCTAACTCCGGGGGATTCACGACGATGGTATCATATAATTAGTTTCTATGGTAATTAATAAAGAGCAAAAACAGTCTCAATGAGTTTTGCTACTTCGTGTGTCACCTGATGGTGATTTTACATTTAAAAGCATGAGTTCTTCGCTAAAATTGTGAGAGAGAAAAAAATAGCTATTTATAATACCGATCTTGTTTTAATATTTCAGCCCAAATAAAAAATGTAGCCTTAAATAAACCAACCAACCAGAGTTCTACATACAGTGATAGTGTAGCATCTAAAGCTGTAGATGGTGATATTAATAGTGATTATACTAGAGGATCATGTAGCCATACACAAACAGGTTCACCTAGTTGGTTGTGTGTTGATTTACAAGAAGACTTCAATATCATCAATATTAAACTATATAACAGACTCGACAGTAGTAAGTACACAATATTATCAATATTAAACTATATAACAAAGTCACCAATAATTATACAATATCACCAATATATAACAGAATCAACAGTTGTAAGTAAAGAACAATTTATCAAGTATTCTTTCCATAGACAGTCCAGGTAGTTGATGATGTGTTGATCTACAACCTATTATCATTATCAACAACATTACACTTTATATCTAGAGTCTGTTTTACGAAATTTTAACTGAAGATAAAATCCAAATTTTAGTAGATACTTCAATTTTAATTGGCTAAGCACTAAAATCAATCTAATATTATCAAATTACTAAAATTTGGATTTTATCTTAGTTAAAATCTGGTGAAACAGGCCCCTGGAATGTCAGAAATACACCATTATACTTGTTCACTATTTGATATTCCATTTAAAAACGTTTTATCCATTAGCATGATGTAACATGATATTATTCATTTTACCTTTACGTAAAGCGTGTTGACCACTAGCTTGGTGTAGCATGACCATTTTTCTATCACGTAGTTTATAATAACTTATTCTGCATTAGAATGGTGTAACATGATATTGGCAATTTTACCTTCATGTACTTTTATAAAACTTATTTTCAATTATCATGTTACTCGATATTGGCCATTTTGCAATCACGTATTTTACACTGTTTTTCATGTTTCCTAATAACACAATCACTTACGTCTTAGGGATGAAATAATAGGATGTGACTGAACTAAATGAAGCACATCACATTATTCATTTTGTTGGGGATTTGGTGGTTCAGGGAATATGGCGCTGGCCTACTAAGCAAGAGTTAACCGATTCGAACCAGGATTATCGAGCCTGGCTTCTCTTCCCAGTGGTGCGGTGGCGAATAAAAAGCGTCTAGTCGTCGGATGAGACAAACAAAATAGGTCTACAGGTGTACTCAATAGCCTGCAGAAACATAAATGAACCCTTGTCACTAGGAATTCAAGGAAGTATAGGTGGAAACGCCGCTGTCTGGGAGATATTTCCCTCACAGCCAGTGCCTGCAGAAACATAAATAAACCCTTGTCACTAGGAATTCAAGGAAGAATAGGTGGAAACGCAGCTGTCTGGGAGATATTTCCCTCACAGCCAGTGCCTGCAGAAACATAAGACCTTCAACCCCATTTTTTTTTCATTCCATTTTTCACTACGTACGCAATTATATCAATCTGAGTAAAACACAGATCCTATTTCGTTTCGTTTTTATAGTTTAAAATTTGTTTTACTCGTCTTTACTACACTAGGATCTGGAAGACCTGTTATCATTGGCGTGTTCTGAATGTTGTGAGGGATTAGCCAATGAAACGGTCTGTTACGGCGAGTTTTAGGTGTGTTGTGCACGGAACTGTGGATAATCCACTAGAAACATCAATGCTGATTGGGTATTCAAATGTCTGACGCCATAGGTTCAAAAATTCTTCACCGTTTATCACGTGCCAAGAAGTGTGTTTATGAAATACTATGCTGATCAGACACAAACATCCAGTAAGCTTGTGATTTGCTTATAATTCTGCATTGTAGTCCTCCAATTTAGTTTAACGTGGGTTTTCTGGATGGACATGCTTCTATAATTAGCAAGGATACCACATCTCATCTGTATGCGAATTATCCTTTATGATTTGGGTATTATGTTGCTATGAGTGCAATGAGTACATTTAGTAAATATGTATTGTATGTTACAGATCAAGACAGATTACAAGGATTTGAGATAAAGCTAAGTTCTGATGATCAGTGTAATGGGCAAGGATTTACATCAGCTACAACATGCTATAAAGATACGACACAATCGGCACAAAATGTATATACTATAGATGGATGTAATCAACAGCCATCTACACCTTTATCTGCTGAAAAAGTGTTTATCAGTGTTGCTGGTATACTGACATTATGTGAAGTTCAAATATACACAGGTGGGTCTCTTTACTTTATCTGCTAGAACAATGTTTATCAAAATTACTGGTATACTTACATTGTGTGAAGTTCAAATATGCACGGATACCTTGTATCAAAGTTTTTAATTAGTAGGTTAGGATATCGAGAATTGCCAAGATTTTTTGTAAGTTTAGTAACACTTTATACCAGTTTCAATTGTGTTTACTGTTTATATCCCAGCACTGTTAATAAAATCAATTAGGTGAATAATCAGTATGGTTTACGAGATTGATATCTTTTCGCATATAAGTAGTTATGAACAAACCCTTTCAACAGTCGACAGCATATAGGTATTTATCAACGAACCCTTTCTTAAACAATCGACAGTAAAAGCCAAAGACAGTCTTTTTTCCTCCTATTCTTCAAAATCGACGGTGATTATATATGTATTGCTGGTTGTCTAATTAGATTCATTGTGTGATATTTTATTTTAGCTGTATAAATCTTTCATTATAGTAAATAACAATATTTGGAAGTGCAGTAACCCTACAGATAAATATTTTTCCAGGTTGTACAGGTGATGATTGTCAGTGTGATGATAACTGTCAGTCTTGTAATACAACAACAGGTGTCTGTAACTCATGTAAAACTGGTTGGTTTGGTACAAACTGTCTACAACAATGTTCTACATGTATGACGTCATGTGTTAAATCAAATGGTAGTTGTAATGGTGGATGTAATGATGGTTATTGGGGTAACTCGTGTCAACAACAATGTTCTAATAACTGTAACAATGGAGGATGTAGACAGGTAGATGGTTATTGTAATAATGACTGTAAAGTAGGATGGTATAAAGATAAATGTGATACATCATGTAATCAAGCGTGTTCTGGTGGTTGTAGTAGAACAGCAGGTGTTTGTAATGATTGTGTTAGTGGTATATATGGTTCCAGCTGTCAACAACAATGTTCTAATAACTGTAACAATGGAGGATGTGGACGTGTAGATGGTTATTGCACTAATGGTTGTAAAGTAGGATGGTATGATAGCAGCTGTCAACAACAATGTTCTATTAACTGTAACAATGGAGGATGTGGACTTTTAAATGGTAATTGTACTAATGGTTGTAAAGTAGGGTGGTATGGAGGTACATGTGATACACCATGTAATCAACAGTGTTCTGGTGCTTGTAGTAGTAGAACAGGTGTTTGTAATGATTGTATTAATGGTACATATGATACCAACTGTCAATCAACATGTATAATTACTAACTGTATAGGTAACTGTAACAGGAATACGGGACAATGTTCTAGCTGTACACCAGGTTGGTATGGTATCAACTGTGAAGATATATGTTCTAGTAACTGTACTGGAGAATGTAATAAATCAACAGGTAGATGTAGAGAATGTAAATCAGGAATATTTGGTGTTGATTGTAATAAAACATGTCCTGGTAACTGTCTTCATACTTGTACCAGGGACGAGGGTAAATGTAATAGTTGTAAACCTAATACAGTTGGTTTATATTGTAATTCTACATGTGGAGCTGAATGTCTACCAATTACAGATGGGACTCAAGCAACATGTGATAGAGATTATAGATGTACTAAATGTATTGTAGGAAGATATGGTGATGGGTGTGATTTGAATTGTAGTACAACATGTGATGGTAGTTGTGATAGAGATGGTAGATGTACTGAATGTATTGTAGGAAGATATGGTGATAGATGTGATAAGAACTGTAGTAAAACATGTGATGGTAGATGTGATAGGACTAATGGTAGATGTAGTTTATGTGTTAAAGGATACAGTGGAGATACCTGTGAGGAAGACTGTAATGCTAACTGTACTGTTTGTAATCAAGATGATATCAACAACTGTTCACAATGTAAATATGGCAAATATTATGGAACATCGTGTAATTACCGGTGTAGTTCTAACTGTAATGGACACTGTGATATATCTGATGGAACATGTTCCCTCTGTAAACTTGGTTGGTATGGTAATGTATGTCAACAACAATGTTCTACCAATTGTAAAGACGGTTGTGATATATCAGGAAAATGTCAAGTGGGATTTCTAGGTGACTATAGTAAATGTATATTAAATTAATTTAACCCCTATTAATTTATCCCTTTTATTCAAATGTGCCGATTACTTTTGTCGTTTCTAAAATGAAAAAAAAAACCCAACAACATAACAGCTTGTACGTTATGTCTGTTGTGTATTGGCATGGATTGAAAGTGGATTTTTGCTAAATGTAATCTAGCATGTATCATTGGCCTTAAAAAATGAAATTAAGGGCAGATAATATTCCCAATTACATGAAGTTTTATGTCTGCTAATATCAATGTATATATGTTTGATCATTTAAGATGATATCAAAACTGAAGAAATGAGTCCAGTTGTAGCTGGTGTTATTGGCGCTATATTTGGAATAGTAATTACAGCGATAATTGGTGTTTCAGTACATTGCTATATAATTAAAAGGTAAGAAATAAAATTATATGAATGCATAAGTTCGAATCAGAAGGTAAGACATATTTAACGTTTCGATTTGTTTATACCACAATGTATACATCAGTAAGTTCATAATTCGTGCACCCTCCACATTACGAGACAACAAACCAATATATAAGTTATACACGGATATCATTGAGAAAGGGGCATGGACGTCATAGACCGTGTAAGCAGTCTAGTGAATTATTTATGTTAATTTTAAAATCTATATGTGTATTTTGATTTACAGAAAACAGTTATCTAAACCAGCCAGTGAATCCCGGGGTTATAGATATAATAATCAACCAACGATTAATACATTAACAACAGGAGGAGATAACTCTACATCTCACGATATTACTTATGATACTCTACAACAAGTTTCAACTCAACAAGATGATGCAGCAAATCAATACCAAACATTAAATCCAAATCCTGCATATGTTAACCTTGGTTTACAATAAGACAATTGCGTGGGAAGAAGGATTTGCATTTGTGTAAAATATGAGGCATGTTTAATGATCATAGATTTTGTGACCAATTAAATAAGAATAAAAGACTATATAGCTGTATATATCACAACAAAGATGTTAATTACTATTCATATTAGTTGAAATGAGGTGCGGGCTCTTGAAAAAGGCAAATTTACACATTTTAATTCATTAGATCGAAAGTGTTCTATGGGCCTTAATCAAACTTAATTCTTATTCTATGCTTATCTATGGTTCATCGGAGGGGTTTCGACACCAGGTACCTTGAAGGGGAACATTTAGACGTTTTCGGTGTCATTTGATGGATGCACACCAACTTTGGTAGTTGTGTTGCTTTGGTGGTGACTATTCATATTTGTGTAATTAATGGCTTTCACCGTTCCCTACGAACGATCTTGTTTGGGCACCTTGGTGAAATTTATTTAGAAATTGTGCTATTTCTACTTACTCATAACACGATACTTTTGGGTTCCTGTGCAAATGTATGTAAAATCAATTTGCTTGACGCCAAGAACGGGCAAATGAAGACTTGCATTGATCTGGATGTGTTCAAAGAATCAAACAGTAGAATTAAATTGCTAAGCAGAGATGACCAGCAACATATTGCACGAAAACGTATAACCACGTTGTAAACCATATCTCCATAATTCATACCTTATTATAAACAAATATGAATCGTGACGATTCAAATGCAATGCAAATAAATTTTGTTTTCCTGTTCTTTAAATAATAAGTGTATATCAATTATTCTAAAGCCGCTTGTTGTCATTTGAGAGGTTTGTGATTCCTTGCAAACTACACTACTATGAATGTTGAATATCAGTTCAATTTAGTTCAGTATTTACACAGATTTGATGAATTGACGGGTCTCTATTTAATCTTACTGAATTCAAGCTCGTAGATTATCTTAATAATAATAATAATGTACATTTATATAGCGCTTAATCCACCCATGAGCATGCTCTAAGCGCTGTAAGTTAATAGCTTCTGTGGATAATACATCGTGAACATATGCGTCTTAAGTCTAGATCGAAATTGAGCAACTGTTTCTGAACACTTTATTTTGTCAGGTAAGTCATTCCATAGTCGTGGACCATATACACTGAAGGCTTTATCACCAAAAGATTTTAATTTAGTTGGAGGTACAACAAGTGATAGATTATTTCGTTGATATTTAGATTATTTTCTATTACATAATAATATAAAAACAAGGGTATTTTCAAATATTTACACAAATTTTCTCAATTCAACGATATTGTGTCAGACTATATCTATATAGTCTACTTTATATTGAATATCTTATTTTAATTTATGTAACCATACTATACCTACCTTAATTGGGGTAATTTCTAGACATAAATTACTCATTTTTTGTACGATCCACACTTCTTGATAAAGTATTAATAACAGTGCAGGTTGTAGTATTTTTTCTGTTACAATTAATATATATAGAATATTTAAGAACAAAACTTGAAGAAATTAAAATATTTCAGATACTACTTTAAAGATGCATTGTGTGAGAGCTAAATCTGCCTATTGTAGGTATTTCCATTGGCCTCCGATGTTATATAAATCATTAATTAGACATGTATCCACATGGAAAGCCTATAATCAACTCTGTAGGATATTGAATGATCTTGATTTTTAATGAATTGAAACACGATCGCCATTTCATAATTTAATTTATCAATGGATAATTGAGACATTGTTTATTATCGTAACAATGGTAGCAATAAAAATCGAGACTACGCTATTCTTATCAAAACTTCCCACATCGATTACTTCGCTCAGAATAAAGTAATTTGACTGATATTTTCTATATACTACTTCTTTCATTATTTATATTTAAACTAGTATTGCGAGAACTCACGGCCTTTTATCTAAATCTTACATAATGCATCTTTAATAGTTTTAATTCTAAAAGTCTTGAACTGAATTCTCAGGGCCATAAGTATTCTCTCAAAACATAAATCGTGTGCGTGCTATTAAACGGTAACTAGCCAAATATGAAATGGCGTTATTTAATGCCAACTGTGAACATGACAGTCGTGTGATTAATTTATTGTTTTATTTGCGATTGTTATATTTCTTTTATTATTACAGCAATACTTGTATATGCTTAGAAGTAATTCCATAAAAATATGGAATTGTACACTGGTAGATGAGCCTTTTAGGTCCTTCCGACGTAGTAGGTACTAGTTGGTTATTCGCGATCCTGTAGTTGCATGTATGAATTTTCAGTATTAAAGATTGAAGAACCATTCCAGACTCTTGTAATATATGACGGAACACACCCGTCAAAATTGTTGCAGAAGTCCAGCAAGATTACAACCTCTTACATTCTACTAGGAGTGACTTCCACGATAGTTTTTTCCATTGGAAGACACATCGCATAGTTTGTTCATCCGTGTCGGGAAGGGAATGAACACTACATTACCCTTTAACCTGTCTTGATAGCAGCTATCGCCGTTACGATGCATGTGTGGATGTGAGCAATGTTTAACCACGATTGACGGCGTTTCAACACAAGGTAAAATAGCAAAATTGGATTAGTTTGTCTATGGTGAAGACGCGTGGCAACGCAACGTCATTTCGCGGGAACCTGTAGTCGGAGCTGATTGGTTAAAACCCTATTGCAGATGCAGTCGACGGAAAGGGCAACTGTTGCAGAGGCCTTGTGTGGCAAGATTCCAACCTCTTACAAACCAAAGCGAGTATCTCTACCATGTGTTTGACCTTCTTAGATGTCAGTGCACATCCTGGGTTCTAACTGATGCAATAGCTACTTACTGAATTATAAGACTCCTACATTTAGACAAGAATGGTATGTAGGGGTCTATTGTCATTTGATTAACAAAGGGGTTTACCCCCGTATGTTTTTACAGGGACAATATGCCACATATCCATGCCAGTGTTTTAATATTACATTTAACATTTTGGTAAACGTATCTTTGTATTTAAAATCTATTTTATTTATCTAACTATTTCTCCCGGGGGAAGACCTTTGAATGGAACACATACTGGCATTGAAATCTAACAATTACATCTAAAAGGCTATGTAGCGAATCGCCTACGAGTCTATTTTGATATCAAAAAAGACGAGTAGAGAATTTTATGTATCACCCAACACTTTCTTACACGAACAAATAATAATTGGCAAATCAAATGCATGTAAATGATGTACGAATGTATAATATGTTATTGAAATAAGCAGTATGTCCGTCAGTATGCAATATGCAAATAAAGTATCTCTATTGAACGACCGTTAGTATATTACATTGTAAAGGCCTTTTATATTTTATTTTGACCTAAATACAAGTTGTGTAAAGTTATAAAATTAAAGTCGTCGTGGAGAGAAGGCGTGTCTAATACAGCTTAAAGGAGCTAAATCGCTAACATCTGGTACCTAGAAATTCACAAAAGTGCGTCGCAACGCATATAATACTGTAATATGAATGTATATAAACTGATTTACATTTAATGGTTTCCGTTTTTACTCCAATTTCAAATCAGTTATGTTCGGCGAAATAAGTCAGCAATCTCAATCGAGTGCAAATTTCTAGCGTCTACTTATTCTAGTCTACATAACTCCATTTGATTTGGTGCAATGTGTCTAGCCTCGTCCCTCGAGTCTCTCAATACAACTGGGGCTGAAGCGCATTATGGTACACGATTCGTGTACCAATGTTAAAAAAATTATTTTATCTTAAATATCGGATATCAGAAGCTCATCTTTTCCCGGTAAGTTTACATCATCAATGTTGATTTGAATTGACCAATAATTCGTGTTTTCGATGTCGAAGATTTTGGAGGATTTTGAGTTACGGACTTAGGTCCTTTAAGGGATATCAGAGAATGAAAATATACTTGGCTATAACCAAGGCTATTCACCTTACAGTATGTAATATGACTGTTTTACTATAATATGTGCAGTGGATTTGTAGTGTTGAGCTATAGACCGGCTGAACTATAGATTTATTTTTAGTTCACTTCACAAATATTTGTTAAAGTAGCTAAGTCTCTAACTCAATATCATCCAAAGTCTTACACATTGAAAACACGAATTATTTGCCAATTCAAATCAACATTGATGTTGTAATCTTACCGGAAAAAAGTAGGCTTCTGATATCCAATATTTAAGACAAAATTAACATTTTACCATTTGTATACAAATCGTGTACCATAATGCGTTTCAGCGTCACTTGTAACAAGTGACTAGAAAGAACGAGGCTAGACATATTGAACAACTCATGTCAAACGGTGACGCCATTATCTTATCTAGAGAGCATGCGCAATGGACTGGAATAACCAGACGCTAAAAATTGGTATTTGGTTGAGACTCATGCCGTATTTCGCTGGACATAACTAATTTGAAATTGAGTCAAAACGGAAACAATTGAATGTAAATCAGTTTATATGCAATCAGATTACATTATTATATGCGTTGCAACCCATTTCGGTCAATATTAGGTCCCAAATATTAGCGATTTATCTCCTTTAAACTGCACAAGGGAGAGTTTGGCTTTATTATCAGTTTGTCCGATGGTTTGTTTCAAGGGCATATCTCTGACACTGCTGCAGCGATTTTGAATAAACATGTCTGATATGTCAGACGTATGATCACGTTTTTGTGTGAAACACAGCTTGAGATAGTTGTCAACAATAATTGTCGTCTTTCTACACTGTATATTTATTTTTTAGTGTAGTAATTGCCGATGATACTTGGTGTACATAAATATACCTGTCTCGGCTACAGTACATAGCTCCCATTTATAGATGCGTTGACTCAGAAGAACGTTTATTCTTACAAATATTCCCAACAATTCTCGTGGCCTATTCCAACGGGTCAATGACCGAAGAGCGCATTCTGCAAGGAAACGACCCGCTCCTCCTTTAGTTTTGATCTCTAGATTTTGCGGGAAAACGACCCGTCTCCTCCTTTAGTTTTGATCTCTAGATCATCGTGCTTTGACATGATATTCTACCGAAGAGCTTAAAAATCGATATATTTCGATAGTTTCAGTTCCATATCTCTGACATTACTAAATGTATTCTAATCAAAATATACTGGAATATAGTGCATTATGAAGTGTACAGCTGTTGTCTAAAGAGAGAGAGAGAGAGAGAGAGAGAGTTTAACGTCCACTCGACACAACCTAGGCCATTTCGGGACTAACTTATGGTTCAATTTTAAATAACATCAAATTAACATTAACCCATATTTGTTTGAAAAAGGTTTAATAAATATCAACATATAATATTAACAATTATATAAATAACATATTTAATCACAATAACATTTTTGGCAATAAGGGGGTACAGGAGTTCACTCACGGCTCTACTGAGCTAGGGCAACGCATAGCTAGGCAGTAGAATTTTTTGTTTCTACTGATGGCAGTTTCGTTGCAAAACTGAAAAGGCAGCCTCTGAGAGAAGCTGAAGGCATGAGCCTGAGGCAGTCGTAAGTTGGACGAACTGCGGAATCTGAGTAGGAGTTGATTCCGGGGCCATGGTTCCTATAAGATTGTAACTTCGGATGAAGAAAGCTCGGGTTGTAAATTTCGTCGGATAAAACTGTGAGCCAAAGTGTTAAGATAATTATGATATATTTTTGAGGGGAAAAGGATTAAGCTACGGCTTAATTAAATGCCAAATGGAATTGCAGGTTGATGAGGGAACATGAGTGAACTTAAAGACCTGTAATGGAAGCCCCCAAAAATAGTAATAATTACATTAAAATGATCCTCATTTGTAGAGATAATTTCATACGGTACATATAAAGTATCCTTAAATAAATGAACTTATTTACATAAGCCCATTTTCTCTTGTGCATCTCTTATTGACTTGGCATCTGTTCTGATGTATTTCCTGAAGCAGTCAGATGACCATCTCCCCATCGTTTTGATGACGTGGTTTGGCACATGGGCTCTAGCCACTGTCGTGGCCGCTCCTATTCTGAAGCTGTGACCATTATATTCATTTGGTTGAAAACCTAAGTTCTTAAGAGCTTCCTTTAAAATATTTATAAATAAAGGCCTGTCTAAGACCCTACCCTTGCTGCTGACAAATATAGGATTCTCGCTTAAAGCTCCACTGCTGTTTCTAAGTGTTAAATAACCCTGCATAATAGCTACTGGGCATAATAGTGGCGCGTCTCTTACTCTATTATTAGATATAGTCACCCCTTGTCTAATTAAATTATCTAATGAAATAAATTTCACGTCTGACAATGATAGATTAATATGAGGGTCAAACTGTGAGTTAGGATTGACTGTAAATTCACCACATCGCAAGAAACCAAAGAAAGCTAAGAACATGCTGCGGTCAACATGACTGAATCATAAATACAATAACTGATGCGAATATACTCTATAATTTTGAGTAGCATCTTTAAAGTAATAGGTAGTCGTTTAATCTTTGTTTTGCTCTGCGCTTTTTTAACCCCTCTTAAAGCATATTGTTGATTGAAAAGATTGTTTGACTGAGTCAGTGGGGTATTTATATTAGCACATACCTGCTAAGTAAAGTTTGATGGTTTGATATCTTAGATTAAAGGGGGTGTATCACCAGGAGTACTCCACAAATTGTTAAATATTAGAAATTTCTTAAATACAGAAAAGGCTGAGTTATAAATAGCTCTAGTACTGGGGGCTAAAGATGTATCTAAAAGTATTGTTACAACATGGTCTAAATGAGGTATAACTCGTTCAAAGACGGTGTACTTGTTGGGTTCTTTTCTGCTGTTGGTGCCATAGATTTGAATTTCTCCACCTGCAAACGAGAAAGTTAATCGTCTCATAAGTTTCATAATGTTACTAGATTTGCTATGTCCCTTATTAATAATGTTCACGGTAGCCATATTGTCACAATGGAATAAAATACGCTTCTGAGACCACAAATGGCCCCAAATCACTGCACAGGTATCTATAGGTACAAGTTCCATAGAATGGACATTTCATTCTGTTCTAAAAAGAAATCATTTGGCCACGCACAAGAAAACCAACTCCATTTGAAATAAGCACCATATCCTTTACTGCCACTAGCATCTGTGTATAGTTCCATATCGGCCGATTCTACTATACATAGTTCGTGGAAAAACGATTTGGCATTCCAGAGTTCTAAAAAATCTATCAACATGTTAATGTCACGTCGACAATCCACATTAGGCCGTGTTGAATTGATTCCTTGTTTCTCCTCGCCCGCGCGCTTAGGTCGAGGA